CCTGAAGCTCCTGGCCCCTTCCCGTGCAGCGAATGCCGCCAGAGCTTCGCGCGCCACGCAGTGCTGCTGGAACACCAGGCCGTGCACACCAGTGACAAGTGCTTCGGCTGTGCCGAGTGCGGCGAGCGCTTTGGCCGCCGCGCCGTGCTGCTGCAACACCGACGCGTGCACAGCGGCGAGCGGCCTTTCGCCTGCGCCGACTGCGGGCAGAGCTTCCGCCAGCGCTCCAACCTCACGCAGCACCGGCGCATCCACACGGGCGAGCGGCCTTTCGCCTGCGCTGAGTGCGGCAAAGCTTTCCGCCAGCGGCCCACTCTCACGCAGCACCTGCGTGTGCACACGGGCGAGCGGCCCTTTGCCTGCCCCGACTGTGGCCAGTGCTTCAGCCAGCGGCTCAAGCTCACGCGCCACCAGCGCACGCACACCGGCGAGAAGCCACACCGTTGTGCCGACTGCGGCCTGGGCTTCGCGCAAGTGTCGCGCCTCACCGAGCATCGGCGCGTGCACACAGGCGAGCGGCCCTTTGCCTGCGCCGACTGTGGCCAGTGCTTCCGCCAGCGCGCCAACCTGGCGCAGCACCGCCGCATCCACACGGGCGAGCGACCTTTCGCCTGCGCCGAATGCGGCAAGGCTTTCCGCCAGCGGCCCACGCTCACGCAGCACCTGCGCACTCACCGGCGGGAGCGGCCCTTTGCCTGCCAGGACTGCGGCCGCCGCTTCCACCAGAGTACGAAGCTCCTCCAGCACCAGCGCGTGCACTGCGCGGAGTAGCCGTGCTGCAGGCCGAGCCTCCCGGTGTGCTCAATAAACCGTGGGCGGCAGCGGCGGACGTCTCCTGTGCAGCGAGCTTCCTGTGAGACTTGCTCGTCTGCGGGGCAGCCAGTGTCCCGGGAGCGTGTGGCACAGGGTGACCCCCAGCCCCCAGAGGAGGAAATATTCTCTGTGAGCGTCCACCACGCAGTGCCTGGTCACCAACCAGGTTCTAGCAGAGACAGCCACAACAGATATTTCAGCAGAGGTGCTAACTGGATGGCAGGTGACTGGTGGGAAACGGAAAAGGGTAGTCAAGCTGTCCTGGAGGTAGAACTTAGGAGTCCCTGAGGAGAGGGCGCTACTGAAGAGTTGGCCCTGGAGTCTCAGCAAGCATGGAGGCCCTGTGGGCTTTGTTACTGCTCAGCTGGCCCTGGGTTACCCCCAGAGGAAGGTACTCCATGGGTCTAGGCTGAGATGCCTGATGTCAAGGCACTGGGGTGGGTCTCTGACAATCCAGTGACCTGGTTGAGAAGTATGTATGTTAAAAATGTACTGCTCCCAAAAGGACTGCATTGTGCTGCTGCTGTACTGGATGGGGCTTTCCCCTCCGAGTCCCAGTAGCACCTGCCCCTCACAGATCCAGGTGAAGGGGACCTGTTTGTAGAGTCCCTGCCCTGCACAGTGAGGCCCATGTAGACAAGGCTGGACCCTAGAGACAAGAGCTTAACTGACAGCCCAGCCCTTGTATTCCCTCAACATCCACTCCCAAGCCTGGAAGGGATTAGAACACTAAGTCTCCAGGATTCCTGACTTCCCAAGCCCACCAAGTCCACCATTTGACCAAAGCCAGTGCTGGTAGCTCCCGTAATACCACCTCTCCACTTGCAACTGAGCTGTCCTATCACGGTCATCTTCCTAACACCCACTCCCACAGCAGTCGCAGCCAAAACTTCTCCCCACCACTGGCCCTGAGACTTTTCAGCTGTGAATCCAGGATCCTTCCATTAGGGTCCACCAGAACCACACCCAGTTCTCAAGTTTCTGGATGGCGCCTTGCCTGGACTCTGATGCCTTGAACCTGTATCCCCACTGTTCTTGGAGCCAACCCCCAGAAGAGTACATGAACTAGCTCAGTCTCCACCCCAGCTAGCCAACATCATCAGATGCAGCAGAATTACTAAAATGGCAGCTGGCAAGCTGGATCCTGCCTGAGGATGTGTTTTTAAGACTCTTTAACACCTGGGAGGCCATTTCCTAGGTTAAAGGCTGGAACGTTTTACCTGGAAATTCAGACACTTGGGGAGATTTTCTGTTCCCATGTGTTTACAATCAGTAGTACTAAGGATGGAGGACTCTGCAGATAAGACCCCAGCTAGTCTAGGGAGCTCAGGCTGCAGGCCCATGGCCAGTTCCTCTACCTTCTGGTGATCATTTCCATCACCCACAGGTTTCTCTTCATCCTAGGAAGTCTCTGACCACAGTGCATTCAGCAAGATGACACAGGCAGTGAGATGACAGCTGCTTACATGAAAGCAGACAGATGTGGTGCCAGTATCTCAGACTCAGATCTGGCATCCCCAGGACACTGTCCCATTGCCTCTTATCCTAGCCATCTCTCCCTTTCCTGTCACTGCACAGACCCTTGACACAATATGCCTGCTCCTCTTGGTGCCAATAACAGGGGTCAAAGAGTCCTCATGCAGCAGGGTCGAGCTTGAGGCCTGAACTACAGTCAAGGTCCTATGTTGGGCAGGTGTCAGCCTGACTGGCCTGTGCAATTCCAGGGTCAGCAACATGAGGCCTGTGTGTCCCAGCTTCTTCCAGAGGTAGCTTAACTTTCCCATTACTGTATCTCTCCCCACACCTCAAGGCAGGCTCTGGCCTCACGGGAAACAGACAGACCAGCCTGAACAGGAGGCCACTCCCATGTGGCACAGTGAGGGGTCTCTGATACCCAGGTTTATATGATCCCCTCTAATCACCTAAGGTGCTGGGCCAGAATATGGAGAATCCAGAATTAAATAGGTGGTGATGGGCTGCCCAGCAGGCAAGTGCTGCCATTCTATCAGCAGGGCTGATGGACAGCATAGGCACTAAGCCCCACAGTTACTGCTATAAGAGGAATCTAGGACATGGGCATGGTGGCACACACATGTAATCCCAGATACTCAGGAGGCTGAGGCAGTAGGGTCACAAGTTTGAGGCTAGCCTGGAAAATTCGGCAAGACTCTTGAAATTTAAAAAATAAGCTGGGCAATGTGGCACACGCCTGTACTGTCAGCACTCTGGGAGACTAAGGGAGGTGGATCACAAGTTCAAACCTACCTGCACAATTTAGCAAGAACCTGTCTCAAATGGCCGGGCATGTTGGCACATGCCTGTAATCTCAGGCTAAGGCAGGAGATTGCCTCAAGTTCAAGGCCAGCCTGGACTACATCGTGAGACCATCTTTTAAAAAATAATTCAAAAAAATTAAAAAGGGCTGGGGATATTTCAATCCCCAGTACTGCAATAAATAATTTTTTTTGGTACCGGGGATCAAACTCAGGACCTTCAGTTTGCGACGCAGGTGCGGTGCCACTGAGCTAAATCCCAGGCCTTGCAATCAATTTTTTTTAAAGGACTAGGAATGTAGCAAAGTAATAAACACTCCTGGATGCAACCCCCAGCCCCACCCCCACTATCCAAAAGTTGAAAGCCCACAGGCCCTAGTCAGTGAGGTAGCTATAGCATTTGCCTGCTGGCCTGTCCATTACCGGGTACGCTCCTCTTGGTGCCCAAGCACAGCAGTGTGCCTCCAAAAGCTGTGTTTGTGCAGTTTTCTCACTCAAACCCAGTCCCCCTGACTCTACCTACTTCATTCCTCAGGACCCTGATTCCAACCACCCATCTTCACACCACCTCCCCTTCCCTGCTTTCTCCTGCCCCTCGCCTCCAAAACCATGAATTTCCCTATACAGTGGACCCTTGAGTTATGACCAGCTTCACATACAAACAACTTGGGTTACAACTGGAATTTTAGTTTTAACTAAAGACCAAGTCTTGAGTTATGACCCAAATGCTGGTCTCTCCGGTGTGGGGTCAATTGAGAAATCCTGGGCCAATGTCTCTCTAAGGACACTGAGATCTGCCTGGAAGAAAGTGTAGCCTAAAATTATACAGGAGAGACTTTGAAGGCTGTGTAGAGGAGCCTGAGCCTTCAGTTGACCCTGTGGTTGGTGACATTTCACTATAACAGAGTTCACAGGCTTGCAGGTAGAAAGTGATACTGAGGTGATATTGAGGAATTGGTGGAGGAATGCTCAGAGGAATTGGCCACAGAGGAATTTCAGCAACTTCTGGCTGAACAACAGAGAATGGCAGCTGAGGAGATTTCTGAAGAGTTGGGGGAGTATCAACAATCAGTGCAGGAAAGTTCTTTTGAAATAAAGTAAATCCTGAACAAATGGGCAGAGCTACAAACATTTGTAGAGAAAACCCTCCCAGACAGAAAAAGCCAATCACTGTATTCACTTGCTTAATGACAATGTCATGTCTACAAATGTCATGTCTACAACAGCTACAGAACAGTGTTAAAGAAAAAGACAGAAGGCTGGGGATTTAGCTCAGTGGTTTCGCCACCTGCTGCACAAGTGCAAGGACCAGAGTTCGATCCCCGGTACCAAAGACAGAAACACAACCTTAGACCAGTTTTTAGTTCTGAAAAGGTTAAGACCTAGTGAGCCAAAAGTAGGTGCTAGTGGGCTACAGACTCTCCCAAGGAGAGAAAGGACACCAGAGAACCAGATTCTTGATGTTCTTATGAAAGGGGACTGTTCTTCCAAACAATAACCACCTCAACAATGGACCAGAGGTCCACACACGAGCCAGGCCAGCCAACAGGAACCACTCCAGAGTGGACTGAAATCGTGGTGTGTTTATCAACTGTCCTATGGAAATAGCATGTTTGAAAATAATCAGCACCGGTTAGGCATGGCATTCATACCTGTAATCCTAGCACTCCAGAGGCTGATGCAGGAGGGTCGCCATGAGTTTGAGGCCGGCCTGGGCTACATAGTTCAAGGTCAGCCTGAACTACCTAGCAAGACCCTATCTCAAAAAAAAAAAGAATCTCCTCCATTGCGCCAGGGATTTAGCTCAGTGGTTCCGCTGCCTGCTCCGAAAGCACAAGGACCCAGGTTCAATCCCTGGTACCAAAAGAAAAGAAAAAAAGAAAAGAATCAGCACAGAGTAGGTAGCTGAGGCAGGGACGGACACTGGAAGTGCTGTCTGCCTGCCCATCCTTGCCCAGCCTCTCCAACGTGCAGCCTCCCTGGACTAAGGAGGAAAGCAAGCTAGGATATTCTGGTGGGAAGACCATTGGGATGAAGGGGGCTCTGTGCTAGTCGGAGGGGTGCCCCCATCCCGACTGCCGGTTTTCTTGGTGACAGCGGGATTTATCCATAAGGCCCCACCTGGAGACTTGTGGAGCTGACACAGAGACCCAGGAGGCCATAGGCACTCTGCTAACACCTGCCCAGAGCTCCTTCTGTCGCGGAGCTGTGGTTGGCGCGGAGCCGCATCTCCCTACTGAGGCCTGGCGTGCTTCTGCTACCGTCTGGGCCCAAGGCTTGGGCGCCTCATCCCCCGTGTCCACCCTGGGCTGGAAACCTCACCGTGCTCACCACCTCTGGTACAAGTTTGCTTGTTTTAAGAAAGGTCTATCTATGTCTCCTCGAATTCCTGGCCTCAGTGATCTTCCTTCCTCGCCCCTCGAACAACAGGAGTTTTGTTTACCTCAACTGGAATCTCCATAAAAGGGAGTTTTGAGTTTGCAAGGGGACACTGGGGGTGCTTGACCCTGCACCCTCTGGGCAATCCCTCCTGCCCCGCCCGGGTTCTGTCTTTGTGACTCCCGGGTACAACAACCTTAAGTGACTCATCCGCGCCGCGATGCAGCGCTACACTAAATGGACCAGCCGAGATCGAGCGGCCATCATCTGCCCCATTCAAAGATGGCACCAAACACTGCTTCCTGCCTAGCAGGCGAGGATACCCGGAAGTGACTGCGGGACAGCCGAAACGTCATCTGGGCGAACGGAAATACTGGAAGCCTGACGAAGAAGCCGGAACCCCAAACCTGTCGCTTAGCTGAGAGGGGCTGCGCAGGCGCAGAGCACAGGCCGGGCCGGAAAGGCCGAAGCGTGTAGGCGACGGAAATATCCGAAGCGGCTGGTCGCCCGAGGCTGTTGTCGACCTCCGCGCCGAACCCCGGAAGCCCATCCTCCTCCGGTACGCTGCAGCCACTGCGGCTCTCGCCTCCCCTTTTTCCATCCTGAGCCGCAGCCCCCTCTCGGAGGGAGCAGTAGAGCGGCAAGACTCAGCAAGCCCAGCGTCCGAAGCTGCAGCTGGGCCTCAAAAGACCTGAGCGGGAAAGGGGAGGAAGGAGAGGCCGGGTGGTGGGGTGGGGCCTGTCGGCCCGACAATAGCCGAGTCTGCCCGAGTGGTGCCGAGTCCGCCCGAGGCGCCGGGCCAGGCCGGAGCAGGACTACGGGAGCCGAGGCGGGCCGCGCGAAGCAGCGCGGCAGGCCCGGCGGGCGGCGGCAGCAGCGGAAGAGGCCGCAGCAGCGGGTCCTAGAAGCAGAAGCGACGCGGGAGGCGGCGGGGGGCCGGGTAGCCGGGGTCCCGGGCCCCGCGGCGGCGGCGACAGCGGCGGCGGCGGCGGCGGCAGGATGATCAAGCTGTTCTCGCTGAAGCAGCAGAAGAAGGAGGAGGAGTCGGCCGGCGGCACCAAGGGCAGCAGCAAGAAGGCCTCGGCGGCGCAGCTGCGGATCCAGAAGGGTAGGGCGTCGGGGTGGGGCTGGGTCGGCGGGGGGGCCATGGAGATGCGGGGGGGCCTGGGCTGGGAGCCGCGGCGGCGGAGGAGGACACGCACGGTGGTCTCCGGGTCGGGGGAAGCTGTTGGGGAGGTCTGGCGTCTGGCATTGGGTAACCGGAATCTGAGTGTTGGAGCTGCCGAGAGCCAGAAGGTCAGACTGGAACTTGGGTTTTGGATGAGATCGAGAAAAGAAAGGTAGCAGGGACCAGGAACTGAGGACACGAGTTGGGGACGATTTAGGGTATTATTCTGGGGTCAGACAGGGATCTGGGAGTGACAAGTGGACGAGGGAGGGATGCTGGAATTGGGGACTTAATGTAGGAGGGAGAGAGAATTTAGGCCATCATACTGTGGACCTCAGAATTAGAGAGGGGTTGGGGCCCAGGGATTTGAGAGTGTGGGATTAGATGGCAGCCTGAGTTTGACACCCAGAGAAGAAGTGAGACCAGGGACGATCTGAGAGGGCTTGATCTAGTGTGTAGGGGTAAGTATCCTTGGATTTGGGTGTACAGATACATAACAGAGTTGAAATCATGTCTGGGGACCCTGGGCTCTGTAGTGCTCAGAAGCTGTTGGAGCCCAGAGCTTTGGGGTAGGGGCCACACGTGAGTTGGGGGGTCCCAATTTGGGAGCTGACTTGAGATGACTGAGAGCTGTGGATTTAGAGGAGTTAGGGTTCACCTTGTCCCAGGAGGTGGGACACACAGCCACAATGGAAGATAACATGTTTGGGAACTGCTGTGTATCCAGAGAGCCCACCTAGAGCCTCGAGAGTCCAGACACTAGAGACACAGATGTTCCTAAGCACTCTGCTGACACCTGCCGAGAGCTTCCTGACTCTCATTTTCCTCTTTCTTTCTCTCTCCCTGTCTCTGTCCCTTTCCTCTGCTTCCCCAACCCAGATATAAACGAGCTAAACCTGCCCAAAACGTGTGACATCAGTTTCTCAGACCCAGACGACCTCCTCAACTTCAAGCTGGTTATCTGTCCTGATGAGGTAAGAGGATCTATGGCTGGACTCCCAGGAACAGATGGAGTGTGCCTCCACTGGAAGCAGGGAAACCTTCAGGCCCCGCAAAATACAGCCCTAATGCCACTTTATGTCTTCCCCTCCCAGGGCTTCTACAAGAGTGGAAAGTTTGTGTTCAGTTTTAAGGTGAGTCCCAAATGGGCAGAGGTGGCTCTGGGGACTGAGGAGGCGGCGGCTGAGACGCTGCCAGGCACTTACCCACCTCTTCTCTTTTCTTGGAGCCAGGTGGGCCAAGGTTACCCACATGACCCCCCCAAGGTGAAGTGTGAGACTATGGTTTATCACCCCAACATTGACCTCGAGGGGAACGTCTGCCTCAACATCCTCAGGTGAGGGCACCAGCCCTCTGCTGCCCTCCCCAGCCCTCCTTGCCAGGCCCCCTCTTCATCTTTGGGCACTACAACACTGTGTCCCTTCCCTCCCCACTATGGCAAAGTCATTTTCCTCACCACCCAGTCCTGGCTTTCCCTATGGCCTGCCCTGCTTCATACCTTCCCCTGGCTTCTCACATTCTCACTGTGCATGCCTCAAACCTGAGCCGTCCCGTACCAGCCAGCAGAGCCTGTGGCAGCCTCCTTCCTACTCTCTAGCCCTTACCATGATGCTCTCTGTCCACAGAGAGGACTGGAAGCCAGTCCTTACGATAAACTCCATAATTTATGGCCTGCAGTATCTCTTTTTGGTGAGTAGAGCTGGGCATTCGGGGCCAGGGAAGGTTGGCCTTCTGCCCCTTGGGCCCATTGACCCCACTTGTACTGGCTACAGGAGCCCAACCCCGAGGACCCACTGAACAAGGAGGCCGCCGAGGTCTTGCAGAACAACCGGCGGCTGTTCGAGCAGAACGTCCAGCGCTCCATGCGAGGTGGCTACATCGGCTCCACCTATTTTGAGCGCTGCCTAAAATAGGGTCGGCGCATCCCCACCCCGCCAGGGCCACCAGCCCGGGCATCCCCTACAAATATTTATTGGGGACACGGGAGGTGGGTGGGAAATGGCCAGTGGAGGAATCCCTGCCTTGGCCTTGCCTCCCCTCCTTGCCACCTGCTCCTAGGTATTTTTTTTTTTAACCACCACGTGATTCTGGTCGGCACTTCCTCCCCCGACCTGCTCAGCGATGGGAAATGAATTGGCTTGTCTAGCCCCACGCTGGGTGCTTTCCAGCCCCCGACTGTGGGCTGTAGGGTGTGAGGGCCAGGGACCTGGGTAGCTGGGCCCAGGCAACCCCCCTTTCCACAGCCGAAGGTCATAGCAGGCTATTAAAGGGGAATGTAACTGCATGGCCTCTGCCTCTTCCTTCCGTGGGGCGGGAGGGCCAGGTAAGGTGTGTGCGCGCTCACAAGTTTTATCTGGGGCCGCTGATTTGGGCGTGATGGGAGACTCAACCCTTGCTTGCAGAGGGAAAAGTGCACCCTGCACCCTCGGGGCCCGCGCTGCGCTTCTGCCACGTGCGGGCCCTTGGGTTAGGCTCCTGCCTGACGCTTTTCAAGGCCTCAAGCAGAAGTCAAGATTCCGCGATAAGCAGTGCCCTAACGCGGTGGGAGGCAGGACCTCCAGGGTGGACAGACAGACGGGGCGCCACTGTCGCACAGCGGCGGCCCTGGCCCGCAGGGGCGGGGCTCGGCCGGTGAGCGCTCGCGCGGACTGCGCATGCGCCTGGGTGCTGGTTGGTCTGCGCGTGCGCGCGTTTACGCCACTTCCCAGCATTCCGCGTACGGGCGGGGCGTGCGGCGTCAGATCGTTTGATCCGGAAACGGCGGCAGCAGCAGAGGCAACAGAAGCAAGGGGCCGCCGTTAGTAGGTACGCCGGGCATCCGAGCAAAGGGAGTGTGACCCGGAAGCGGAAGCGAGCCTCCGTGCCAGCTCCGGTGAGTGGCCTCTGTGGGGCCGTAGGTCTGGGTGGGCTACAGCGCCCTGGAGCTTATCTCGGCCCGGGTGTCGGTGCGCTGTTCTGCCGGAGCCTGCCCTCTTGGGTTCCGGGCACCACCGTGTTTCGGAGTGCAAAGTGCCCTTACCCGTGTCCTCCGAAGCCACAGTCCTTCCCGCAGAGCCCCACGCCCACTCGGACAGCTCTCCTGTCCTCGGTGCTCAGGGTCCCAAATACAGTAGTCCTCCCACTCGTCCTCCAGCCCCACCCCATCCAAGACGTCAAAGCCACGCCCCTGTGTCTGAAAAGGAAAGCTGACGTTGGATCCTGACATCCGTGTGGGCAAGGGGATGGAGGAAGCCTTGAGCCAGCATAGTGGATGACTCAGGTCTGGCTGGCCTCACTGTGTCCCATAGCACTTCCCTTCATATCTCCTGACCCCGCCCACCTCCTGCATGAACCTGTTCTGCCTCTTGTCCTCCTTCTGGGCCCCACACCCTACAACTCAGCCTTCACTCTTCCAGGCCTGCCGTTGGGCCCCTGCCACCATGGACCTGTTGTTTGGGCGCCGGAAGACGCCAGAGGAGCTGCTACGGCAGAACCAAAGGGCCCTAAACCGTGCTATGCGGGAGCTAGACCGGGAGCGACAGAAGCTGGAGACTCAGGAGAAGAAAATCATTGCAGACATCAAAAAGATGGCCAAGCAGGGACAGATGGTAAGTGCCCATGGTCAGGGCCTGGGACAGAGCAAGACGTCGGCTCTCAGCCATGCACTACTATGATGATAGTGAACAAGACAGGACACCAAAAGACAAGTCCTTTGATGAAAGATCTTTCGTCTTTGACAGAAGATAAGCAGTGCTTCCCTAGTTTAGCAGTCCGGAAAGGCCTTCCTTGGAAGTGCTATCAGTCAAGACTCAAGTGTTGAGAAGAGTGAACTGAAAATTTGACCCCAGGCTGCATCATGCAGACACAACAGCAAGTGTTAGCCTTAGCAAACCCAGAGAGCAACAAAGTGAGCTGAGAGGTAGACACCAGACCACTGAGAATTGGGGAAACAGTAGGTTCAGAAATGAAGAGATGACCAAAAAAATAAGCTTTGAAGCTGTGTGTGGCCACTTATTCCTGTGATATCAGTACTCTGGGAGAGCTAAAGACTGTATCTTGCTAAATTTCCCAAGCTGGGTTCATCCTCCTGCCTCTACCTGCCAGGGTGCTAGAATTACTACAGGCATAGTGCCACCACCAGCCGGCTAAAACAGAAAAAAATCAAAACGCCTGGGATGTAGCTCCATGTAAAGGCCCTGGGTTCAGTTCCCAATACTGAAAAAACAACAAAAAAACAAAGCTTTGACCAAAAGGCCAGTGAGAAGACAGCCAGAAAGAGAATAATAAAGCCTTTGTGTTTTTTAAATTTGAGACAGGATCTCACTGAGTAGCCCAGGCTGGCCAGACTCACAGTCCCCATGTGCCAGGGATCAGCCCAAGGGCTTTATGCAGGGTAGGCAACTACTCCATCTCTGAGCTACAGCCCCAGCCAAAGCAGATTCTCTGTCCAGGGTGGGGACAGAAACAAGGTGTGACTCACTCAAGGAGTGACTCTAGATATGGAAGGGGAAAAAAGTACTTGGCCTGCCAGCCAGGATTTAGGGATCAAAGGAGGTAGACCTTACAAGAAAGAGGGGAAGTGGGTGAAATCAGAAGAGAACAGCCAGTGACTGCTTGGATTAACCTTGAATGGAGCGTAGTTCTCGAGATGTATGCTTTACTCTTGTCCACTCTATAGGATGCTGTGCGCATCATGGCAAAAGACCTAGTGCGTACACGGCGCTACGTGCGCAAGTTCGTATTGATGCGAGCCAACATCCAGGCTGTGTCCCTGAAGATACAGACGTTGAAGTCCAACAATTCAATGGCACAAGCTATGAAAGGGGTCACCAAAGCCATGGGCACCATGAACCGACAGGTGCGTCTCTCCCTACTCCCTCCCCATTCCCACTGATCTTCGGGGACCAAACTCACCCTCCCCCTACTTCCAGCTGAAATTGCCCCAGATCCAGAAGATCATGATGGAGTTTGAGCGGCAGGCAGAGATCATGGACATGAAGGAGGAGATGATGAACGATGCCATAGACGATGCCATGGGAGATGAGGAAGATGAAGAGGAGAGGTGTGGAGAAACTGAGAAGGTAGGGGTATTTTCTTGGTCCTTACTCATAGCCCTCATCAAGTTCTTCTCTCTTCCTTAGTGATGCTGTAGTGTCCCAAGTCCTGGATGAACTGGGACTGAGCCTAACAGATGAGCTGTCAAGTGAGTCCCACAAACCCATTTCATCTCCCATCTGAGACACAAACAGCCCAATCCCCTACTCTTGTCCACTGCTTCTACTCTTAACATCCACTCTTTTCACAGATCTCCCCTCCACTGGAGGCTCACTTAGTGTGGCTGCTGGTGGGAAGAAAGCAGAGGCCACAGCTTCAGCCCTGGCTGATGCTGATGCAGACCTGGAAGAGCGGCTCAAGAACCTACGGAGAGACTGATCATCCCCTTGCCACTGGGGAAGGGACAGAATGGATGCCCAGGGTCTTTACCATGGCTACTCTGTAATAAATGAGATTGGATGCTCATTACCAAGCTGGTGTGACTGGCATCCATGGGGGCAGGCTGTGCCCTTGGTTAGGGTTTGGGACAGGGGTGGACAAGCCATATCCACCTGTGGGCTTTGGCCCAGTACTTGTGTCTGCTTCAAAGGTGATGGACCTCTCCAACTGGTAGCATCTCAAGTCTAGACCCAAATCCACCGCTTTTTTTTTTTTTTTTTTTTGGTACCGGGGATCGAACTTGGGTCCTTCCGCTTGCGCAGCAGGCGGCAAAATCACTGAGCTAAATCCCCGGCCCATCCACCACAGCTTTAACAACGAGCAGTCTGATATGATGGCTTAATGAAAATTTAAGGACCAGGCATAGTTCCAAATGCCTGTTAATCCCAGCACTCTTGGGAGGCTGACAGGAAGGAGCATCACAAGTTCTCTGGAAAACTGTCTCAAAAACAGGAGTTATGGGGCTGGGGATTTAGCTCAGTGGTGTCCCTGCCTACCTCTCAAGCACAAGGTCCTGAGTTCGATCCCGGAGGGAGTGGCCAGGAGTTAGCTCGGCAAGTTAGTTCAGTGCTAAAGCCCTATGAAGCAGTCTAGACCAACAATGGGAGTCAATGGCCAGCCCAACTTGGGTATCCTACTAGGGCTTAGCTAGAGAGTAGCCAGAAGGCATATAACAGATAAACAATGGTATCAGAAGCCTAAGCAAGGAAGGACAGGAATTGGGGGGGGGGGGGAGAGACCTCAGAACTCTGCATGCCTGATGATGGCTCCAAGGGAAAAGTCCTGGAAACACTGAAAAGCGTAGCTGCTATGAGGTATGTGATAAACTGGAAGCTTCTTTCAGGATCACAGATTAGCCCAAGCCTACCCACCCTGGGATCCTTGATAGCTTCTGGTGTGTGCATCCCTTACGAGGTTAACTGCCCCCTCATACACCCTTGGCAGATTCAAAGAGGCCAAGGAAAGATTCCTGGTGGTTAGCAATGCTTGCAGGTGAGCAGATATAGACAAGAGACCAGGAGCACAGCCCCAAACAGCCAAGGCCTGAGGAACCAGTGAAGTTTTTATTAAATCCACAAGTAAAAACCATTGTGAGGGAGTGAGTCAGGCCACCAGGGAGTGAGTCAGGCCACCAGGGTTAAGGATGAGGGTCAAAGGACGTAGGAGCACGGCCAAGTGCCCAGAAGGGTCCCACAGCTTCAGGGACCTTCACCAGGGCCAGCAGACAGCTCCTGGGAACTTAGGCCAGCGCTCGGCAAGCTCAGTGGCGGGGGCTCTACCAGCACAGCAGAGAACTTGGTGTCACCGAAGGCCTCATTCATGCGCGTCTCAAAGAAGCGCTGCAGGCCGATGATGGACTGCACATCCGCCTTATCCTAGGCCAAGCAAGGGTGCAATGGAGGGTGGGTCCTAACTGCTGCCCCCCAACCTGGGCCCCCTCATTCCATTCCACACTCACCTCCGTCAGCTTGTTAAACTGCTTGAACATTCGACCCACATCCTGGGCAAACTCCTGTGGGGAGCTATAAGGGGGTGAAAGCTTTTCCTGCAGGCGGGCACGGATCAGGGTCAGGTCCAGGGTGCCACCAGGCTGCTCCTGCAGGCAAAAATGATACACACCTTGAAGGCTAGACCCAGCATCCCACACCTCCCTCTTTTCCTGTTCTAGGGTGCACTCACTATGGAGAAGGTAGAGTCTGTAGCCAACTGGTGCAGGGGACGGCAGGGTTCATGGCAGAACAGGGCCAGAAGGACACATTCACATTTCTAAACAGGTCAGGACATATCAGAGCTGCAGAATGCAGGAGGGCAAAACCACTGGGCTATCCACACTTGAACAGCTTGCCACTCACCCGCTGGTTGGCTGGCGAGAGCTTGGCTACCACACCAGCACTGTCAGCACCATCCATGCTGAGACTACCATCCTCCTCTTTCAGGTCAGGGAGTACATGGCAGAGTGAGCAGCTCCACTCCTCCCTAGGGTGAAAAATGAAGGAATGCACAGGGACCCCACCCAGGCCCACACTCCGGGCCAAGACCCCCCCCCAGCCTCACACGCACCCTGGTACATCTTGTAGGGCAGGCAGGTGGCAGTCCAGGTGGAAGCAAAACTCACACTGGTTGCACATAACCAGGTCACCTGGCTTCTGGCAGACACGGCAGATGGTGGCACTGTCATCTAGGGTGCCTGGGACACCAGCTGGGGCTGAGATGCCCTCAGGAGCCACCACCTCCAAGCCTGAGCTAGTACTGCCACTAGGTGAGGCCAGGCGGGGGCCCTCAGTGCCAGGGCCTTCAGCCAGAGCCATCAGCACAGGCTTGGTCTCAGGGCCCTCAGCAGCAGTAGCAGGAGGGGCTCCAATGGCAGCCTCTGTCTCCTCCTCCTAAAAGGTGGTAAAAGGTGTTAAAGAAGATCCAAACCTAGGTGACAGGTGCTACCCTCCCATCATGTTGGGACAGGCTAACCTTGACAATGGCCATCCCAGGGAGAGGTGGGGCACTGGGCACTCCAGGGGGCGCAGTGCCAGGCTGACCAGTGGCAGCAGCAGCAGCACCACGCTCAATAACAATAAGGTTGTAGTCCTCAGTGGTGCTGCCCGGAAAGACCTTGAAGACAGGCGGCTGGCTGTCAGCTGTAAGGTCCAGATCTAGGCGTTCTAAGCTCACACGTGGCACCTTGCGCATGAGGCCACTCACTTCGCCCTCACCAGAGCGGGACCTATAGATGCACTAAGCATGAGCACCCCTATCCCTACACCTCACCTATCCACCACCCAGGGGACCACCACACATACCGCTTCATGCCTGACACATGGGGCTCTGCACCGGAGTAAGGATCATCTGCTCAGAAAACAGAAAAGATGACCGGTTGAGGGTAGACACAGGCATTCACTGGGCCCCTGCTACACCAGGACACTAGGCCAGTAACTGTGAACCTTTTAGACCTTTCAATGATATAAACAGCCCACTGAGTTTAAAAAACAAAACAAAAAACCCAGCCCACCACAGCATAAGTGCTCGCACCCCCACTGCCCTAGGCAGACCCAACTTACCTGATCCAAAGCCATAGCCTTCCTGTACCTCCATGGGCTACAACAGAACAAAGCGGTGCACCTCAGAGAGGCAAGCACCCAATGGGCCTTATGTCCTACTCATCCCTGGTCCTGTCCCCTACTCACCTGGCTACTGCTAGAACCCTGCTTGCTCAGGGGTCCTGGGGCTCTCAGGGCCATAGGTGCAGAGCCTGTGGAGTTAGTACCAGGACGCTCAGCTACAATCTTACCTGAAGAAAAAGAGAAAAGCCTAAGTAGGTGCAGTACTTGGACTGGTAACAAGGTAGAGCAAAGGCCAAAGACTGGGACCTAGCCAGGCATGAGTGCACCTGTAATCTCAGCACTGGAAAGCTGAAGCAAAAAGATCACAAGTTCCAATCCAACCCAGCCTGGCCAATTTAATAAGACGCTGTCTCAAAATTTAAAAATAAAGCCCTGTGTGGTGGTGCGTGCCTGGAATCCCAGCACTTGGGAGGTTTAGGCAGGAGGCTTGCCACAAGTTCAAAGCCAGCCTTGGCTACATAGTCAGTTCAAGGCAAATCTGAACTGCATATCAAGACCCTGGCTCAAAAAAAAAAAAAGGAATGAATGAATACATAATGAGACTTTGTATCAAAAACAAAAAGAAGTGGGGCTAGGGATTTAGCTCAGTGGCACCCTGCCTGCCTCAAAAGCGCTAGGTCCTGAGTTCAATTCCCAGTAACAAAAAAAAAAAAAAAAAGAGATAAAAATTGAAAGGCCCGGGGATGTAGGTCAGCACAAAGGCCCAGAGTTCTGCCACAAACCCTGCTGTCCCTTGCCCAGACTCTACCTTCTCCATGCTGAGTACATCCTAGAAAGGAGAGAGATATAGGATGCTGGGTCTCACCTTCAAGGTCTGTCATTTTTGCCTGCAGGGTCCAGTTTTGCACAAAACAACAAAAAAAAGACTAGGACCCACCAAAGGCCTCGGCACTCTTGGTCCAAGCATTGAGGTCCCACTGAAACTTCATCTCGCCATGTGGCTCCACAGGATCCACAATCATCTTGAGAGCTCGGTGCAGCTGGAAGTAGATCTGGGGGAAGAAGAGGGCAGGGCATGAGCACACTAAGAGCACACAGACTCAATATGCTGGGGTCACCTGCCTGCAGACACGGACACATACCAGCTTCTTAGAAAGCAGCAGGGCTGTGTTGTTGTCACTCTCCAGAGCCCAAGAAGCAAACCGAAGAATATGCTCCTGATGCTTCTGGATCTTGGTCAAGGCCCAGTGCTGCCGTTCTAGGCGCTCCTGCTGCCCCTCAGTCACCTTCTACAGGTCAAGGAGTAAGGTCATCAGGAAGAGCAGAGGACACCAGGGTTCTTCACCAGCAGATGGGATCTAGGGTCTCTCCCACGTGCACATGGCTTACTTGGGCATCATTGACCAGCACACGGCCCCGCTTGTTCAGCTCCTTCATGATCTGCAAGATGGCCATCTTGACATCCACCTGCACACGCTTCTGCACATCAGACACCTGTCGGATCCTAGGGAACAAGGCAGGTCAGGCCAAGAAGGAAGCATCTTACACTGAGGGACCCCAGCCCTGACACCCACACTTACGAGCTGCGAACCTCCTTGGTGCTCTTCTGCAATGTGGCATGTCTGTCCCCAAGGCATTTCACCATCGAGGCCAGGACCTTGCGCTGGTTCCTCACTGCATCCTCCAAGAACTGGTACCTAAAGGCAGGCATATGGGCCTGCATGTGAGGCCCGGGAACAGGTGGCATCCACCCACCCACTGAGCCCCAGGACTTACTTGTGGTCCTTGTGAGCATTGAGCTGGCAGTCTCGACACGTGAGAGTATCACAGCTCTCACAGAACAGCACAAGAGGTTCATGTTTGTGCACATTGCAATAGACAGTGCGTTCACCATCACGGGACTTGGCCGGGCCTGGGGAGCGGGAACCATGAGGCTGGACACTGGCCTTGGCCACCTCAACCTTGGGCAGCAGACACAGCTCAGGACTATCTCCTTCCTATCTTACAACCCTGGCTGGTGTACCGATGAGCTACAGTGACCATAGCAGGGGCAACTCCTTGCACTCAGAACCTTCTCCCCCTGCCCACCAAGAGAAGTATCTATTTCTTTTAGCTTCTGTAGATAACAACACAGAAAATAACCTCTTGGCAATAAAAAAAAATCTTTGCTGTTCCCTCTACCAGAAGCTTGTCCAGGTGGGCAAACTGAGAATTCTCCCTGACAACAAACCAACCTCCAATAGGCTTTTTTTCCTCTGTTCATGTAATCTCCCTTCCCTGATAGAAAAATGATAAAGTCTCTTGTAATTCAAGCACTCACAGAAGGGTTTCCAAAGCTTTCTCAGACTCAGCAAGATGAGATCTTAGATGGGGACCCTCAGTGCTGGGCTTCCCTCTCTAGGAAAAGATTCTGATGACCAGTAATGAGACCCATAGACCAACATACCTGGAGCCCCCATGGCCTGGGCCCATCACATGAAGCTTGTCAGTCCCTTTCCTCTCCAACGCTAATAATCAAGCCTGACTGTACCAACTAAACCCCAACTATGGGGCTTGGGGATTTTAGCTCAGTGGTTCTGGCACCTGCCTCAAAAGCACAAGGTCCCAAGTTCGATCCCCAGTACCAAAAACAAAAACAAAAAAAACAAACCCCAACTATGTAGTACAGATCAAATGGGCCTTAGCTTCCCAAATGCCACCCACTCCTGCACCAATGAATGAACAACCTTGGCCTAGAACCTCTGGAAGCTAGGAACCCTGCAGGCTCTTTTAAGCCTTCAACCATCCTCTATTATCTTTCCATGAGTACTGCCCTCTGAGATGGAAAGAGATACATTATAATATCAAAAGATAGCTTACAGCAAGGCACAGTGGCACATACCTGCGATCCCGGCACTTGAGAAGCTAAAGCTAGAGGAGGATTCCAGCAAGTACAAGGCCAGCCTTGGCCACATGGCAAGACCCTATCTACCCCAAAAGCAAAGCAAACAAAGGAAACAAATGAAAAAACAAGACTGTTCATAGAAGGATTCTGAACTAAAACCGGGGCCAGGCTCAGGAGCCTCTCAAGCTCCTTTCCAAAACAAAGCCAGAACCCAGAAACAGCAAGCCCTCTGGGTAGGATGCTGCACACATCCAGGACTCACCTCTATGGGTCCAAGAGCCCTGGATGCTTGTCAAGAAACCCTATCTTAGGGCTGGGGATTTAGCCCAGTGGTTTCGCTGCCTGCTGCACAAGGACCCGAGTTCGATCCCCGGTACCAAAAAAAAAAAAAAAAGAAACCCTATCCCAGAAACCTCACTTTCTCCAGTATAATCTAATACATGTGCTAGGGAATCTCAAACCCAGTAAAGCCTCTGCTCACATCTCACCCTGCCAGCATGTGCTAAACACTCCAACACCAGGACCCTCTCTCTCCTTGGAGGCTTCCAAGAAGAACCTCCTTGAATCCTGTGCCCCTGCAGCATGCTGAGGATACTTATACCTCCTCTGGCCATAGCCTTTCTTCTCTAAACCCCTAGAGACACTGAAAGGAGCCTGGGCACCTCGTTTCTGAGTTCTGTATCAAGGTCTTTCTGATGGTATTCCCTAGGTAGCAACCCTGAGACCGTCCCATTACCGGATGCACACGAGCATTATGTGTGCTAAGGAGAAATGAAAAAGAAAACAGCTGCAACAGGGCCCCCTTTCACCTACCAGTGGAGCGCACAGTGTGGTCCTTGGTGTACTTCACCCGCTGGTGAGCCTCAACACAGGTCTCACACAGTGGCTCAGAACACTCCACACAATAGCTGGTGGCTGGGGCGTTATCCTCGCAGCTAGTGCAGCACTGTCGAGAAAAAGCAGCCTCAGAAAACAAGCGACAACCCACATTTATCATCCGAGAAATAAAACGGAGATTACGACGGATCTCTTACCCCAGGCAGGAAGCCCACCCAGATCCCTACAGAGGGCAAAAAGTAACAACCAATGCTAGTTCGAGGCTCCTCTGGAACAAATACCCGTCCCCACGTTCAGACCTCCGAAGGCTTACAGAGAAGAACGAACCTGGTTTGCATCCTGTGTGTCTGAGGCAGACTTATTGCCACTGTCGCGCATAAAGTAGTTCTCCACAATGTCTTTGGAGGAGCACTGCTGCTTGCACACTGGACAGTCCACCACTGCGGAGGCAGCCGCGTGAGGGGCCCGCGCTAACCCAGGGCATACCCGCGAACCCACCGCCCCGGGGCTGCTCCCTCCTCTGTCCTCCAGACTTCGGACCCCGCCCCCGGCCGAGCCCAGTCAGGTCGCACGCACCGCCGCGCGCCCAGCGCTTCCAGCGCTCCGGCCCACCGAGCCAGTGCTTGCGCTCGCACAGGCGCAGTCCCACGCGCCAGATCCGGGGCTCGGGGGAGGGGCGTCCCCGAACTCACTCGTGCTGTCCCCCGCCGAGGCGCCGTCCCCCGCGCTGCTGGCCGCGCCGGGCGCGGAGGGCCCGAGGCAGGCGCTGCAGGCCGAGTGCAGGCAGGGCAGCAACCGCGGCTCGCGCTCCGGCCGCAGACGCTCCCGGCACAGGCCGCAGTGATCCAGCAGCTCCAGCGTCTCACCGCCACCCCCTGCGGGCGACGACGCGGAGGCAGACGCCGAGGCTGCAGCCGAGGAGGCGCCTGCGCGCTTCTCGCCACCAGCGGAGCCCTCGCCAGGGCCCGGGCTGCCCGAGGCGGCCGAGGCGGCCGAGGCCGCTGCCGCCACTGCCGCCGCCGCCGCCGCCGAGGCCGCCATTCACACGCCGCCGGGGAACCCCAGGGGGGGAGGAGGGGCGCGGGGCCCGCTGCGCAGGCGCAGACGCGCTCGCCAACGGCCGAGCCGCCGCCGCCGAGTCGCCGCCGCCGCTGCGAGGCCAAGTGCCGCCACGCGTCCGCTCCGCCGCCGCCGCCACACGCTGCCAAGGCCCGACCGACTGCTCCACTCGCCTCCGCGCGGCCCCACCCGCACTGCCTCCCAGGCGCCCCCGAGTCACGCGCTGAACGAACAAATGCCCGACCGAGCACCCGCCCGCAGAAAGAGCCGCGGTCGGGGGGGCGGGCCAGAAATAACTGGCGCCGCCACCGCCACGCACGCGCGTAGAGCGCTGCACGCCCGGGGGCGGAGCCAGGCTGTTCCCCGCGGCCTTGGCCAAGAGTACGCGTGCGCACAGCCCTCCCTTACTGGCCAACCCTTGGGTCGCGGGGCGGGACGTCTGTAAAGTCACCGCCGCGTCCGAAAGGGTCGGTGAGACGCGTGCTCAGTTGCTAGAGCGAGATTTCCCCAGCTCTACCCACGAGCACACCAAGAGCTGGCGACAGGATGCTCGCACGCAGGAGCAGTGCGGACTTCTACTCATTCCTCTGCCTCTCCACCGGCTTGGCCTGTCTCCTGCCTTATGGGTCACAGTTAGTTGGAGTCCCGGGCGCTGGGTCTCAGAGAAGAGTGTACAGCACCTCTCTCTGAACACAGACGCGATGCTAACACGCTTGTTAACATAAGAAACACAGGACCTTGACAAATGAAACAGCTCACCGGGAACTACAGGCAGCCAGTCTGTAAAATTCCTTCCAGCCTCCGAAAGTCTCCTCCACGTTGTGAGCCAGCCGCTCTTCTACTTTGCTGCTTTTCCAGAAGAGAAGCAAGGTCTGTGTTGAATTGTGTTTGAGTGAATAAAACAGGATCAACAGGGAGAGGAATCTTGTCTGAGAAGGAAGCGGGATCAGTGGGGAGAGAGTATCTCTGAGGGGAAGCAGGGTCCTGCAGACAGGAACCCTCCGCAGGACCCGGCGCGGCGGAAGCTGGCCCTTGTGGAGCCGGCCCTGGGCATTGCACCGGGGCCCGAGTTCAGGATCGGACCCCAGCGCTGCCCCTCTGATTCCCAGACGCCTAGGTGTGGTCTCCGTTCCCGGCCGGGGTGCGGTCCGGGGTTCTGTCCCCGCCTGCCTTTGTTCGGTCCGTGTGGCCCCAGCTCGTCCCCCACTCTGGCCTGGCTGCGACCCTCCTTCCCTGCCTCTGCTGGCGGCGCACTTGGGAGGGCTGGGGGACCTTTGGCTCGGGTGCCTAGGCACTAAGAAACAAAGTTTTTAAAATGGTGATGGTAAAGAGCAGCTACCCACAAACCCCTGCACTAAGAACAGTTTGGGCTAAAACAAGTGCAAAGGTCCTGGGACTGAATAGGGATCTAAAGAGTGAAGACACCGGGAAGGAGAGGTGGGAGTGACTACAGCTAGGCTGGTCCCCTGGCACTGCTGTTGCCGCCCCTGCTACAGGCTTCCCTTTTGTCCAGATGGGGAAAATGCAGGTGGCATGGTGCAACACGGGGCAGGAAAGATCGGTGCAGGTGAAGTCAGGGAGCCAGCTGGGATTGGTGCGGAGAGGGCAAGGCCAGGGGGCTGGACCTCACTCAGACCCTCTAAGGAGCCAGGCGTCCCAAGTCTGGACAGATGTGAAGGGGTAGGAGTGCACCTTGGCTGCCTCCCAAGGAGCCAGACCTTGTCCCGCTGCTCCTTACCGACCTCTGCAGAGCATCTGTCTTCCTGGTCCTGGCCTTGCAGGCAGGGCTTGTAGGGGAAAGTGATATACAGGGGCTAACTGCCCACTGCCCAAGTTGGACACCTGCCCGCAGACAGCCACCTGTCTTCCCCAGACTGTGTCTGGCTCTTCTTCCCACCTTCAAGTATCACCTCCCAAAGCCACTTCCTAAAAACATGGCTACCCAGCCTAATCTCTTTGTCTTCACATGGTCTTTTTGTTAATGTGTCTTCTGTCTTGTATTTATTTAGTTTTGGTACCGGGGATCGAATTCAGGTCCTTGCGGTTGTAAGGCAGGTGGTGGAACCACTGAGCTAAATCCCTGGCCCTCTTCTGTCTTTTATTAGGACATTTGTCAAGCTGGGTCATGATGGCATATGGCAGTAATACCCACACTCTGGGAGGCCGAGGCAGGTTTGACCCCAGGAGAGGCAAGTTAGTACTTGATGACACCCTCTTTCAAAATAAAAATTTTAAAAAATTAAAAAGGGCTGGAGGGCATGGTGGTGCTTGCCTAAAATCTCACCACTTGGGAAGTTGAGCAGGATGATCACTGTGAGTTGGAGGCCAGCCAGAACTGCATAATAGCAAGACCTTGTACAAGGAGGAGGAGCCAGGAAAAGGGTGTGGTTACACCTATAAACCGAGCACTAGAAACTGAGGCAAGAGGATTGCGAATTGGAGTCTAACCTGAGCTACATAGTTTGAGGCCAGCCTGGACTAAATAGTGAAAGAAAGTAGTGAGACTTTCTATCTCAGAAAACAGAATGCCAGGCCTGGTGGTGCATGCGGATGCCTGTGATCCCAGCACTCAGGAGGCTGAAGCAGAAGGATTGCCACAAATTCAAGGCCAGCCTGGATTACATAACGAGTTCAAGGTCAGCCTGAGCTACAGAGAGAAACCCTGTCTCAAACAAAACAAAAGAGAAAGTTGCTAGGCATGGTGGTCCACACTCAAGAGTCTGAGAGGCAGGAGGATCACTGAGTTTGGTGCCAGCCTGGGCTACATAGTGAGTTCAAGGCCAGCCTGAAGTACATAGCAAGACCCTGTCTCAAAGAAAAAAAATGAGGAGGCATGAAATGAATTAAGATGCATTGTCATGCACCAACTCACCACGATGAATGCAATCATTATGTAATGCAAACAGGTACTAATAAAAATTTTTTATGGGCCAGGGATTTAGCTCAGTGGTGCCACACCTGCCTCATAAGCACAAGGTCTTGAGTTCAATCTCTGGTATAGGAGGTTGGTTAAAGGAAGAGGGGAGACATACATGGGGAGAATACATGTAAAGACAGAAGCAGAGATTGGAATTATATATGTATAAACCAGGGATTGTCAAGGATTGCTAGGAGTCACAAGAAGCCAGTAGACAGTCACAGGACAGATTCTCCCTCAGAACTTCCAGAAGAGATGAGCCTGGTGGCACACACCTGTAATCCCATCAGGCTGAGGCAGGAGAATTACAAATTCAAATCCCATCAAAAACTTAGTGAATTAACAAGACCTTGTCTTAAAAAAATAAAAAGGGCTGGGGATATGTGTCAGTGGTAGAATGTTTGCCTAGCATCCCTGAGGCCCTGAGTTCAGTCCCAATACCAGGGGAGAAAGTACAGTCAGTAGCATTAGATACATTCACAGTGTTACACAACTACCACCTCTGTCTGGTGTCAAAACATTTTCATGGCCCCAAAGGGCAGTCTCTTAACCGTCAACCTACTTCCTCTCACCTGGCAACCACTAATCTGCTTCTTGGCCCTACGGATTTTTTTTTTTTTTTTTTGCTTTTGCTTTTTATTTATTTTGTTTTGGGTACTGGAGCTCACCCCAGATATATCGTATGTTAAACAAGCACTCTGCCTCAGAGCGCTACACTGCCAACCCGGACCTGTGGACTATTTTTCAGTAACTACTGGGTAATGAACCCAGAGTCTCACATTGACCTAAATACCCAGCACCCATACACACACACACACACACACACACACACACACACACACACACACTTTTTGTCAAAGTCTTACTAAATTGCCCAGGCTGGGATCCAATTTGCTGTCTACTTTTCTTAGCCTTCCAGAGTGCTGGGATTATAGGCATGTGCCACCATGTCTGGCTTGGATCTATGGGCTTTATAACTTCTTTTTTTCTGGTTCTGGGTATTGAACCCAGTCCCTTCTCACTGAGTACATTCACAGCCTTTTTATTTTTCTTTTATTTATTTATTTTGGTACCAAGGATTGAACTCAGGACCTTGTGCTTGTGAGGCAGGCTCAGTGCCACTGAGCGAAATCCCCAGCCCAGCCCTTTTTATTTTTGTCTCCCTAGGTTGTTACATTGCTCAGGCTGATATCGATTTTTTTTTTTTTTGAGACAAGTTATCACTATGTAATTCAAGCTGGCCTGGAACTCACAGTGATCCTCCTGCCTCAGCCTCCCAAGGACTGGGATTACAGGTGTATGCCACCATGCCTGGCTGGGCTCAAAGTTTTAGTCCTCCACAGCCTCCCAGAGTGTTGAGATTACTACCATGCCCAGCCCTTATTAATCTCTTTAATTTATTTATTTATATATATATATTTTTTGGTATGGGGGATCGAACTCAGGACTTTGTGCTTGCAAGGCAAGCACAGCACCACTGAGCTAAATCCCTGGCCCCCTTCTTAGTCTTTTCATGGACGCTCATAATATGCAGATATACGTACAGCAAGCACCCCACATAACCAGTTCTGGTAGCAAAAAATGAACATGCCAAAAAAAAAAAAAAAATGCCTAGTCTCACAAGCCCTTCATGCTGCTCATAGCTGTCACACTGTCATGATGATTTCACAGATGAACTTTGCTTATTCATGGAAATACACGGGACTTTCACTTCTCATTCTTCCTTCTACCCCTCAGCTAATATCCACAGTGGCATATGGCCCTAGTGCTTTCCCTGCCCTTGTGTAGGATCTCATTATGTGAACACTCTACAGTTGGCTCTTTTTTTTTTACACATTTTTTTTTTTTTGGTACCAGGGATCGAACTTGGGTCCTTGCACTGGCAAGGCAGGCGGCGGAACCACTGGGCTAAATCCCTGGCCCTCCTACACATTTTCTTTAAACAAGGTCTCCCTATGTTGCCCAGCCTGGCCTTGAACTCCTAGGCTTAAATGATCCCCCTGTCTTGCCTCTCAAGTAGTTGGGACTACAAGTGTACCCAGGCTGCATTTGACTGCATTTGGGTTTCCCTCCTGCTGTGCTGCTATCACCACAGATCTTGCCATGAGGAGTTCCATGCATGGCTCTTGGCTGAGTGTCTCTTCAGTTGCCATGAAAGCTGGCAGAAGGTTTTAGCAGAAGGTGGCATATCTGAATTCCAGGTTGAGAATGGGTGAGTGTAGGGTGGGACGCAAAGGAGGGACATAGGTGCGGTTCTGGTAGGAACAGCATTAGCACTCCCAGTTGCTCTTTGGAATTGCCATCATTTCTCTAGTAATTCCCTGTGGCATCTGTAACATATTACCACAAACTTGGTGGTTTAAAATGGAAATTTATTCTCTCACAGTTCTGAAGGCCAGGAGAGGACCCTTCCCGCCTCTACCAGCTTCTGCTAGCTCTAGGTTTCCTGGGCTCATGGTTGTATCATGCCAACCTTCAAAACCAATGTCTTCAGATCTGTGTTCTGACTTAAAATTGCCTTTTTTCAGTGTATCACTGCTATGAACTAAATTGCCCTGTCATATGTGACAGTGTCTGGAAATGAGACCTTTGGAAGATAATCATGATTAGATGAGACTATGAGAAGAGAGCCCGATGATGATTGGTGCCTTTATAGGAAGGGACACCTGGAAGCTCTCACCACCCACCCTGACAAACCAAGAGAAGAATCTGCAAACCAAATCAAAGCTAACTGGCTACCACCTTGATTTTAGACTTTCCCCTCCAGAACAGTGAGTGTATATTTTCTTTGCCTCTAATACAAGACTGTATTGTTTCTCGGCCTTTTGGCTAAGATCAAGTGTAGTATCTAATACAAGAAAGCATATTGGAGCAAGGATAGTACATACCTGTAATTTCACCACTCTTTTATTTTTTTGAGACAGAGTCTCTGCAGTCCAGGCTGGCCTCAAACTGTGGCAATCCTCTTGCCTCAGCCTCCCAAGTGCTGGGATTACAGGTGTGCACCACCACACCTGGCCTTGGCATCAGTCTACCTTCCCAAAGGGAACTATATTTCAGGGGAACACTTGGCTGGGTTCTTGCTTATAGGAGAACACTCTGTGATAACATCAAAGACAGTGTAGTTGGCTAATGAATAGGGAGCTAGCTAGGGAATGGGCCTGAAATAGAGTTGGGTGATCAGCCTTTTTTTTTTTGTAGCTTTGTAGTGTAGGTTGCCTTGAACTTACTATGTGACCCACGCTGGCCTGGAACTCACAGTGATCCTCCTACCTCAGCCTCCAGAGTGCTGGGATTACAGGCCTGTGTCACCAGCCTCCACACCCTGCGATCAGCCATATTGATAAGAACTAAAATCGTATAATCAGTAGACGTAACATGGAATGCAACCCCCCTCATATTCAAGGCTGAATGGCAACCCTTCCCTAAATTTTTTTTTTCCTTCCCCAAATTCTTGAGTTTCAAGGAATTTAAAATGCAGACTAACCAGATTTTTTTTTTTTTTTGGTACCAGGGATTGAACTCGGGTCCTTGCTCTTGCTTGCACAGCAGTTGGCCAAACCACTGAGCTAAATCCCCAGCCCCCAGATTTTTTTTTTTAAATCCCAGTTTCCTTTTGTTTGTTGTTTTGGTTTGAGACAGGGTCTTGCTATGTAATTCTGGCTGGCCTTGAACTCTGCTGTGTAATCCAGGCTGGCCTCAAACTCGTAGAGATCCTTCTGCTTTAGCCTCCCCAGTGATGGATTACAGGCATGTGCCACCATGCCCAGCTCCAGTAGCTATTTTTTTTATTTCCAATAAACACTCTCCTTCATCTGTTTGTCAAAATAAATATTACATGGGTGGGGAATTTGGCTCAGTGGTTCTGCCGCCTGCCTGGCAAGTGGAAGGTCCCGAGTTCGATCTCCAGTGCCAAAACATAAATAAATAAATAAATAAACAAATAAATATTACAAGAACTGGGGATGTAGCTTAGTGTGAAGGCCCTCCTTTCAATTTGTACAAATGAATGAATGAGTGAATGAATGAATTTGAAACTGGACACGAAAGACCATAAGGTATGGTTTCAATTACACGAAATATCCATAGTATGAAAATACACAGCTTTCTACTCAGCTGGTCTGGGACCTCGTGTGTTGGGAGCAATGCTACATAATTCTAGGGAAAAATCATTTGGTTAGCCTAGTTCTCTTGCCTACAGCCCAGCTACAGAATAACTCCAGTTTGGCCTCCGGTCACAACTGAGACTTCAGTGATCCAGTGATGCTGTGATTCTCCAGGACAAGAAACATCCTGGGAGAACAAACATCTGCTCAGTTCCTCGTTGTTCTTGGACTGTTAACATCTTGTTTACCCCAGATGTACCGAACTCTCTGCAAGCCTTTTGTTACACCTTGTTTATCCCAATGTGAACTACTGAACTCTCTGCAAGTCATTTGTTACATTTGTTTCTCCAGATGTACTGAATTCTCTGCAAGTCATTTGTTACGAGGTACTGAATAAAAGGTGTGGTAAACTGGGGGCTTTTGTCTTTGCCGCCCAGAGCAGCACTGATCAGACCCAAAGCTCAGCTTCTTCTCAGTCTCATTTTTCTACCTTTCCTGTAATTTGCCGTGTGCTGCCGTGGCTCGCAGGAGACCAGGACTCACTGCAGAGGTTCTGGTAACGTCCCCTTCCCCTGTCCCCTACACTCGTGATTCTGAAACCCATTTCCTCAAGGACTGTCAGAGGCCTGTGGCTGCGTGGTTCAACCAGCAGGTACAGAAGGTCCGCAGGCGCAGGGCCTGGCAGGCAAGAGTGCTGCATTGCCCTGCGTCCTGACCCACTGGCCTACTGCACCACACCCCAGGTGCAGTGCCACACCAAGATCCAAGCCGGCAGAGGCTTCAGTCTGGAGGAGCTATGGGTGGCATTCACAAGAAGGTGGTCCAGATCATTGGCATCTTGGTGGACCCAAGGAGGCTGAGCAAACCCACTGAGTCCCATAGGGCAATGTGCAGCCACATTGTCCCCTTAACTCAGGAAGGGAGACAGCTCTGCAGAAGAAACCAAATTGGACATCCCAGTGATGCCCATCCAGAACATCTGCAAGAAGAAAAAGACCAGGATCATCTCAGAGGAACAGAAGAACTTCAAGGCCTTCATCAGCCTCACATGGCCAGTGCCAATGCCAGACTCCAGCATCCAGGAAGATGCAAGGAAATTGGAGCGAGGTCATTGAGAAGAAAAAATAAAGCACTGTTGGGGTCTTCTAATAAATGCTCAGAAAATCTAAAAAAAAAATTAAAATCCAAATTTATAGACATGGAAGGTTAACGGTGCCAAGGGCTGGAGGAGGGTCAAGAAAAATATTTGGACTATATAAGAGGTGGTGGTATGCAACATTGTGGCCATAATAAAAGCTACTGAATTGTTTAAAATAGTTACTTTTGCCTGGTGGGGTGGTATACCCCTGTAATTCCAGCTATCAGGGAAACTGAGTCAGAAAGATCACTAGTTTGAGACAATCCCAAGCTACATAGCAGGACTGATTCAATAAAAAATGAAAAGTCCTGAGGATGTAGCTCTAGGTTCAACCTCCAATGCCATGAATAAAGTTTTAAAATGATTACTTTTAGCTGGCAAAAGGGTTGTAAGCTCAAGGCCAGTCTGAGCAATTTTATGAGATTAAGTCTCCCAATAAAAAATTAAAAACAGGTGGAGCTTGCAAGTGCAAGGACCCGAGTTCGATCCCCAGTACCAAAAAAAAAAAAAACAAACAGGTGGAGGGCCAAGGATTTAGCTCAGTGCCTCACAAGTGCAAGGTCCTGAGTTTAATCCCCGATACCGCAAAAACAAAAAACAAAAAAAAAAAAACAGGTGAAGATGTGCAGGCAGCAGGGAAAGGGCCATTACTAGAACCTCTGCAGTGAGTCCTAGCCTCTTGGCAGCCACAGCAGCACAAGGCAAATTAACTTATTAGACAGGAAATGTAGAAGAAAGAAGACTTAGAGAAGAAGCAGAGTTTTGGGCCTGATCAGTGCTGCTCTGGGGGGCAAAAGCAAAAGCCCCTGAGCTTGCTGCACCTTTATTCAGTCCATCGGGAGAAACAAATGTAACAGATGACTCAGGGCAGAGTTCAGTACACTGGGAGAGTAACAAAGGTAAAAGGTCACTCAGGGCAGCGGTGGCAGCTGCGGTGAAAATCCTACAATGAAGAACTATGCAGATGAAGATTTTGTTCCTCCCGGGAGGGATGTCCTCAGCTGGTGTAATCTTGTCCTGGAGCCTCACAGCAACGCTGGACCATTGAGGTTTTAGGTGTGACCGGAGACAAAGGTGGAGTTATGTCTCAACCTGCCATAGCTGGCCTGCAGACAGGAAAACTAGGTCCTAATCATGACTTAATTGTGAAATGATTTTTCCCCAAAATCATGTAGAATTGCTCCCAACAGAGATGTAGTTCAGTGGTAGAGGGCTTATCTAGCTTGTATGAAGCCCTGGGTTCAGTTCCCAGTACAGAAAGTAAGGAACAGAGGGAAGGGGAGGGGAAGGGAGGAGAGGGCAAGAGGGACCAAGAATGGAGCAAGGAATGGAGCAAGGAATGGCTAAGCAGGCACTGGTGGCCCATACCTGTAAGCATTCTGGAAGGCTGAGGCGAAGGATCACAAGTTTGAACCAAAGCCCAGCCTGGGTAACTTAATGAGACCCTGCCTCAGAGAATAAAAAAAGGACTGGGGATAAAACTTAGTGCAGAGGCCCTGGGTTCAATTTCCAATACTGGGGCGGCGGGGAGGAAAGGACTACTTTTGCTGCGCATGGTGGTGTGCACCTACGTAATCCCAGTACTCAGGAGCCTGAAGCACTTGCATCACAGTGAGTTCAAGGCCAGCCTGGACTACATAGTGAAACCCTGTCTCAAAACAAAGAATGGTTACTTTTGTGTTATGTGAACTTTAACTTTTTTTTTTTTTTTTTTGGTGCCTGGGATTGAATTTAGGACTTTTCGCTGAGCTAAATCCCCAGCCCCTAGCAACTTACCTTTTTTAGACCGGGGCCAGGCCCCTGGATCCATCAAAGGAAAGGACCTGAGGACCCTGGGATAGTCCCTAGCAGGGCCAACCCATCTGTCAAGGCCTATCTGGGGCAGTGACAGGGGGCTGTGAACCAAGTATGCTGAGGAGTTAGGAAGCTTCTGGATAGGGGCTATGAGGAGCTCCACCCTTGTCTGCAAAAAAATGCTTCCTAGGGAAAGAGACAAGTTTGTCACTGTATTCAACACAAGAGGCTGGCAGAGAGCTGCCTTGCTGAAGGGCTGAGGCCAGGGAGTCTACAGTGACATGGTGACAGAGTGACACTTCTCCCAACAGCCTGCCATCAGGTGTCCAGCAAGAAGGCAGCCAGAAGCACAGGGCTGGTGGCTGGCTCAGGCCAGGAAGCGAAACTCAGATCAGACATTCCTGAGTGAGAAACCCTGAACAATCAGACCAGACAGAGAGAGGGATCCAAACAAAAGGGACCAGGCCCTGAGGCAGAGACCAAGACCTCCCTACAGTATGGTTCCACTTATATGGGAGGCCCAGAACCTGCAAATCAATAGTGGTATTAGGTTTGTGGGGACAGGATCAGAACAAGGACCCATGATACACGACTGAGTGAGGGATCTCAACAAGGGCCGAGGATTTCGCTCAGTGGTTCCACACCTGCCTCAACAGGGATAAGGAGGATGGAGAAGAGTTTACACTCCAGCACAGTACTGAAACTGTGAGTAAGCCGGTAAGTGGAAAGCCCTGGGTGGGGAACTCCTGGCCTGGGGCATCCAGAGCAGGGTGCAGGCACTGGGACAGAGCCTTTGTCCTGGCTTGGGTCCCCGGGCTGCCCACACATCCTCTTGCATGTGAAAGGCCATTAGACCTTTTCTCCCTTGCAGGTATTCCTTGTCCCCCCTCCTTTTGTTTACCCTTAATCTCGCTGGCTGTTGTTACTTTTCGGGTAAACCCTGAAGTCACCTTGCCTGGCCCCATCCATTGCTTCTAGCCCTTCTATAGGCTTCTAGAGGGCCCAGCTTGGGCCTCTCCCCCAGCACCTCCGTAAATTGCAGCCTCCGAGGCTCTGTAGTGGAAGCTGTGCCTCCTCCCATTTCTTACTGTCCCTTCCCTTGCAAAGACCCCTTCAGCCTCCAGCCCATCTGCCTGGTTTGTGCACATACAGACGTGAGTCCTGGGCTCCAACCGTGGACAGAGCTGCCAGAGGGTGGTCCTGGATGAGAAGCTGGCCTGGCAGTGATGGGGGCAGACGGACCTCGGAGAGAGCTGTCTGTCCTCTGACACGTCGTCAGAGGGGTCCTGCCTTAGCACCTGGGGAGAGGGAGGCCCTGGACCACCCTGCAGCTTGACTTCTACTCCTTTCAGACAACAGTCCTTATGACCTCACAGCTTCTTCCCTCCTGGTGCCTGCCTTTCCCATCTTGGGTTTGGCCTGAAATCAATTTCTCCCTCCCTTCCTTTCTTTCCTTCATTCCTTCCTTTTTTTCCTTCCTTCCTTTTCAGTTGTGTCTTGAGGGAAATTCTTCATTTGAACTTCAGGGTGTCCTTGAACACACTATGTAGTCCAAACTGGCTTCAAATTTGCAGCGATCCTCCTGCGTCAACCTCCCAAGTGCTGGGATGGTAGGTGTGTACCACCACACCCAGCCAAAATTTTCAATATCTGTAAACCAGTGTCTTCAGCTATACTCATTTGTTCTTCAAAATGTCTGCAGAGAGAAGCTAATGAGTATTTTCTCTTAGAAGCCATAGTTTCACTGCCCCTGGCTGCTCAGAAGGGTCAAAGTTTGGGTTTCTCCACCCTTGGGCCCACCCTGGCCTCCCAGCCAGAACCTCCACCTCTCCCTCATCCTCTAGGCCTCTTTCCTCAGGCCTAACATCTTTACCTGAAGCCACCTGGGTCCTCTCCTTTCTACCTGGTATCTGTCCAGCTGGATGTCCTGCATCTGCCACCACAGGAGCTCCTGCCTTCCCAATAGCCCCTCAAACTGCCAAGACCACCACCCCCATGCCACCACTCTGCAAGTGTAGGGAAGGGGGATGCAGAGCAGTGGCATGGCGTGGCATGATGTGCCATGGTGTACAACCCTCCCCAGACATTACACGAGGAAGCCCATAGACCTTCACCTCCTCACTTAAGAGAGGGCCCTTCCCCACACACCTTTCTAGATGCCCTTTTGCCCGTCCAGAAACAGCTGGACCTCTTCCAGCCGTAACTTTTTTCCTTCTTCTTGGTAGTACTAGGGATTTAAACCAGGACCTTCACACTGAGGTATATGCCCAGCACTTTTAAAATTTAATTAAATCAGGGGCTAGAGATTTAGCTCAGTGGCACCGAACCTGCCTGGCAAGCGCAAGGTCCTCAGTTCAATCCCTGGTACAAAAAAAAAAAAAAAAAGAGAATTCACTAATTCCTTTTTTTGTGAGACAGGGTCTCACTGTGTAGTTCAGATTGGCCTTGAACTTACTGGTTTGTAGCCTAGGCTGGCCTTGAACTCCCAGCCATCCTCATAAATGCTGGAATTATAGTCCTGCACCACCACTCCCTGCTCTATTTTTTTATTTTGAGAAAGTCTCACTAAATTGTTCAGGCTTGGCTGGAACCTGTGAGCCTCCTGCTTTAGCCTCCTGAGTGTGCCACCCCTCGAGGTTCCATGGCTTCCACTTTTACCTCCTCAGTGCCTCTACTTTGTAAGGCGCAGTGACAGCTGCTCCATGTGCACTGAGATCACAGAAATGCCTGAGGAAGGTTGGCTCAGCAGCAGTGAAGCCTTGGGCAAGAGGTGACAGAGATGCATTCACCAGATGAAAACAACTAGTGTACCAAGACTTCCCATGGGCCTGCATCTCATAAGATGCACACTGTACTTGTTTTCTACTGCTGCTGCCACACACTGCCACAAGCTCAGCAACATAAAGCACCATCCTTGTCACTCCACTCCCCAGATAAGAAGCCAGGCAGGCCCTGCAGTGGATCTCACAAAGTCTGGAATAGGCATAGCCAGGTAAGCTCCTACCTGACAGTTGCAGCTTCCTAGCTTTGGGGTGTCAGCTGAATCCAATCCTATGCAGTTATTTTCTTACTGGCAGCTGCTGCCTGGGACTCTCCTGATTCTCCACCCCCTTATTCCAACATGTGGACTGCTCTACCTTCAAAGCCTCCAGAACTGCTCTCCTACTTCAAGTCTCTTTACCTTCTTTTCTGCCTCTAAAGGCCCTTGTGATTACCTCAGAACTGCCCAAATAATCCAGGATCAACTCGTATTTTAAGATCAGTTGATTAGTAACTTCTTACATCTCCAAAGCTCCCTTTGTCATGAGATTGAGCTACCCAGCTAATATGATCATATTTATAGTCTCTGGGGATTTTGCACAGAATCCCAGAGAGAACTGTTTTTATAGTCCTGCCTCCACCATACTAGCTTGACTTGCAGTGTCTTAGAATTCCACAGGTCAAGCTTGGCATGGTGACACATGCCTGTACTTCCAGTACTCAGCAGACTGAGGTACGAGGATTGCCATGAATTTGAGGCTAGCCTGCGCTACATAGAGTTCAAGGACAGCCTGAACCTGAACTACATAAGGAGACCCTATTTCCAAAAAAACACTTCCCCTTCCCCCTCTAAAAAATATAATCCTGCAGGGTCAAGCTCAGTGGCATCCCAGGGCAGGGTGGAGCGGTTGTCTGTCCATTTGTGTTAGAGCAGTGGTCCAAAAGGTCCCTCACTAACCTCATGGTGGAATATGGGAGGAAGCTTGAGGTCAAGCAGATTGAAGGAGAGGTGGTAACATCCAAGGAGAAGGTACTACGGACAGAGGGAACCGTATCAACCAGCCTGGAGTTGGGCACAGCACGGGGCCTGTGCTGCTGGACAGCAGTGATCATAGACCTGAGGGGGCTGTCAAGGTTGGCAGTGTGAACAAGCCCCCCCTTACCTTTGATCATGTGCAATGGACAGATCAGACTGAGGACTGGGAGAGCACAGCACAAATAAGATTTTCTCAATCTTTTTTTTCCTCTCAGTACCAGGAATCAAACTCAGGACCTTGTGCTTGCCAGGCAGGCACAGCACCACTGAGCTACATCCCCAGTCGGTTATTTCTCAATCTCGCAAAAGCGGCTACCAGCCTAACAGGCAGGCAGGCTCACACACCTGGGCAGTTACAGCAAGCAGTTTAACCCCTAGCATCCAGGTCCCTCCCCGCTTTTCCTCATTGGCTGAGTACTATGAGAGGTGCTCTTCCTGGTCACTGCCTAGACCCTTGGCCCATTCCCTCTACATTTTGTGGGTTTAAAGGCAAGTGCTTAAACCACAGGTGGGTAACTTTTACACTGTCAGTACTTTTCCAATCAGAGTTAGCATAGTGAAGCTATACTTTATTGACCATCTACTACTTCCTCCTTTGTTTAGGGACCCTTTCAGATGCATGACCTCAGTTACAACTACAGGGAAGTAGGGAATTTTGTCTACCAGTAGTTTTCTACTCAGACTTAAAGACTTTATTTTGGAAGTGGAGCACCTTAGGGCCAGGGATTTAGCTCAGTGGTTCCACCGCCTGCCTCAAAAGCACAAGGTCCCAAGTTCGATCCCTGGTACCAAAAAAAGAAAGTGGAGCACTTTAAGTTTCTATTTCTTTTTCTTTTTTTTTTTTTGGTACCAGGGATTGAACTCAGGTCCTTGTGCTTGCACAGCAGGTGGTGAACCCACTGAGCTAAATCCGCGGCCCAAGTTTCTATTTCTTACAGCAGGAGCAGAGCCAGTGAGCTGGCCGACAGACCACAGTGTGGGGCTGTCTGATCAGAAACAATCAGGGGCCTGGTGATTTAGCTCAATGGTTTCACCGCCTGCTGCGCAAGCGCAAAGACCCGAGTTCGAACCCCGGTACCAAAAAAAAAAAAGAAAGAAAGAAAAGAAACAATCAGACTTGGTATTTTTTGCTGTTTGTTTTCCATTCCTGGGAATGGAACACAGGACCTTGTACATGCTAGGTGACGGCTCTACCACTGAGCTACATCCCATCCCCTAGACCTGGGTTTTACTTTCTTTTTTGAGATGGCATCTCACTATGTTGCCCAGGCTAATCTGAAAGTCCTAGGCACAAGTAGTAGTCACTTGGCTGAGACTTGATTTTTTTTTTTCCCCCAGCACTGGGGACTGAATCCAGTGTCTTTATACTGAGCTACATTCCCAGCTCTTTATTTATTTTGGGACAATGTCTCACTACTTAGCTCAGGCTGGCCTCAAACTCATGGCAATCCTCCTGCCTCAGCCTGTGGAGTGCTGGGGTTACAGGCATGCACCACCATGCTTAGCTCCTTTTCTTTATTTCTTATTTTGAGACAGAGTCTCCCTAAATAACTACATTGCCCAGGCTGGGCTGGAACTCGGGATCTTCCTGCCTTAGCCTCGCAGAGTGCTGGGATTATAGGTGTAGTCATCATGCCCCATGCTCAGCTAGACTTGGGTTTGTTTTTTTGTTTGGGGGTTTTTATGGTACTGGGGATCGAACTCAGGACCTCATGTTTGCCAGGCAGGTGCTGGTAGGGGACAGGCATCCTTACCTTGTCTTACTCTTGGAAGTGGAGGTGTCAGCCCCACACTGGACTCCATACCTAAAGCAGGGTTGTGAGGTACACCAAGGCCCTGGATCTTCTGATCTTGCAATTCTGCCCAATTCCAGCCCATTACTACCTATTGTTTTGGGGGGGGGGGTTGTATCAGGGTTCCAACTCAGGACCTTGAGGCAGGCACGGTGCCACTGAGCTAAATCCCTGGCCCTATTGGTTTGTCTTTTGAGACAGGATTTAGGTATGTAATTCAGGTTGGCCTTGAATTCACTATGAAGCCAAGACTGGCCTCAAACTCTGTTATCCTCCTGCTTCAGCCTCCTGAATGTTGGAATTATCTTTTTTTTATCTTAATATGGAGATCCAAACCAGGGCTTCATCCACATCATCTAGCCCATTAGTATCTATGCTCACCAAGTGACCAAGGGGCCACTCTGAAGAACAGATTGATCAGCCCACCACATAGTGGGTCTGGGTCATGGGGACTTTGGCCACCACTCCACTTCCGGGCCTTTGCAGACGGAAGCCCTTCTCTCTCCTGGCCGCTCCTCCCAGATTCCTTCTCCTCCGGTGACTTTTAACTCAATAGTTTTTGTTTGTTTGTTTCCTCTGGTGACTTTTGATCTTCGGTTTCTGGCTGCTCACTTTCTGTAGTGGGCAGGGCAACATGGAACTTCAAGTTAGAATTTTTTTCAGAGACAAGCCGCTTTTGCAACCCTCAGTTTAGGAAAAGGGCAGAATACATAATGCTGGCTGAGGGGCCAGGCCGGTTTCTTCCTACAGGGGAGAGGGAAAGAAAGCAGGCTTGGAGTGTTCCGGTGTCCCCTCCTCTCTTCCTTATTAGAGAAGGCCGCAGCACACCCGCAGTACGGGACCATGAATTGCAATGTGGCTGGTCCATCGCCTCGTAACTGTTTTTCCTTTCCGGCAGAGAACAGTTCCTTTCTTTATCATCCCTCCGCCTGCGACCCCGGCTTCTGCTGCCTCGCGTCAAGGTGGAAATACCCGCTTCCTCAAGTGTCATCGAGGTTCAAGCCGTGAGACAGATCGGGAGGGCCCGCCACTAACCCACCAAGTTTGGGCGCAGTCTCCAGCCCGGTTCCGAGTCTAAAGAGAGCCGGAAGTGAAGCCCGGCGGTGGTAGCAGAGCTCCATGGAAACACCGGAAACGTGCCGCAGTGCGGCACTCCGCCCGCTCGCTGGGCAGAGGCCTTGGGTTCCGCAGGAGTCGCGGCCCGGAAGTGCGGCCCTCGCATTGTCGAGAAGGCGGCCACTGCGGGCCCTGGTGCCTGAGGAGGAGGAGGAGGTGGGGTCGAACGGGCATTCCCTGCTGCTGGGCCGGCGGGGGGCCGGGGCGGGCTTCGGCTCGCACTGCAAACGCGAGAGGGCGCTGCGCGATCGGGGCGCGGAGGCGGGAAACCTAGGTGGGCGCGGGCCTGAGCCCCTCTGTCTGTCGCCGCGGGTCCGAGGAGTCCAGGGCAGGGAAGGCCGCTAGCCATGGTGCGTAGAGTGGGGCGGGGTTCTGGGCGCAAAGGGCAGGAGGCGGAGGCGGGCTCGCAGCTCCAGACCCAGGAGCCTCGGGGCCTTCGTGGCGAGGGGACCACGGAGTGGGCAGGCGGGTCGGGAAGGAAGGGCCCTGTCCTGCGGTGGCCACAGCGGTTCGCGCCCCGTGCAGAGGCACGGAGCCTCGAAGGGACTCACTCGTCGCCCTAGAGGGCTCTGAAATAGGAGGGCTCTAGCCATGGTCGTGGGATGACAGACGAGGAACGTGGAGGGCCCAGCAAGCTTAGTTACTGCACCAGCCCAGGCCAGTCCAAGTCTGGGAGCCAGGCGGGGTCACTGAAAGGGAGGGCCTAACGAGTGCAGCGCAGGCAGAGACCCCAATGGACCCCAACGGAATAGGGGCAGGATTAAGTGCGGGCCCCACTCTGGGTCTGTGGGCTAGAGGGACAGGCCGGGGAGCGCCGATAGGTCTGGGGTGCGACCTGTGTGAGTCTCCCGTAGGTAGACCGGAGGTGTGTGCAGCTGCTACGAGATAAGCTGAGTGTAACCTCCTTGTTCGACAGATGGAAACCTAAGGCCCAGCTAGCACCAGTCACCTGCCTGGTCATTGAAGTAGAGCCGCTCGGGTCCCCAGAGGCCCCTGGGGTTGCACTCCCTGTCCAGGGGTCACAGAAGTACAAGGGAAAGCTCAGCCACTCCTGGGCTGCAACTTGCTGCTGCTTCTCCCTCACTTACCCCACTGGGGCCTACACGCCCTCTCTCCGGGCCCTGCAAAGATACCAGGAAGAGCTGGGCCGTGGGCCTTTCCTTGGGCCAACACCCGTCTCTTTGGGGCAGCAGCCAACAAACTCTGCAGTCTTATACCTTGGGCTCTCTGTGACCAGGCACACCCCCAGATCACTGTGCCCACAAGACAGCCACCCCCTGGCTGCCAGCACGCCCTTGTGAAGACCTCAGTGTATCTACTAGTTAGTGTAACTGCATTCTGAGGCAGTACCTGGGTCTGCAGGGAAGTTAGCTCTGCACTAAGGCTGAGAAGTGTGGGGATGGGAGACCAAAGTAAAGAAAACGGAGGTGTGTGTGAGTGCAAAGCTAGCTGAATACAGACTGGAGGCACGATTCTCTTTCTGCAGGAAGGTCTCCTCTGAGTGAGGTAGAGACTCGGGACCTGGTAGGGGCGGGCTGTGGAGGACTCTTGGGTGTCCTGTGCGTTGGAGATGGCACTTGCAGGGCTGTTAGCAAAGGGTGCTGTTGACAGGGCCTGTTTGGTGATGAGGACAGCGTGGGGCGAAGCCTTGGCTGATCTCCCCCATCCCCGTAGATGGCGGTGGCCGAGGCGGTGCACCACATCCACCTGCAGAACTTCTCGCGCTCGCTGCTGGAGACCCTCAACGGGCAGAGGCTGGGCGGGCACTTCTGCGACGTGACCGTGCGCATCCGTGAAGCCTCGCTGCGCGCACACCGCTGTGTGTTGGCCGCTGGCTCGCCCTTTTTCCAAGATAAGCTGCTGCTCGGCCACTCGGAGATCCGCGTGCCGCCAGTGGTGCCCGCGCAGACGGTGCGCCAGCTCGTAGAGTTCCTCTATAGCGGCTCGCTAGTGGTGGCACAGGGGGAGGCGCTGCAGGTGCTTACTGCCGCGTCGGTGCTGCGCATCCAGACGGTCATTGACGAGTGCACGCAGATCATTGCGCGTGCGCGCACTCCCAGCGCCCCCACACTCTTGCCCGCGCCGGTGCCCCCGCCGCTGGCTCCCGCGCAGCTGCGCCACCGCCTGCGCCACCTGCTGGCCGCGCGCCCCCTAGGCCCCCCGGGCGCTGCGCACAGCCGCAAGCAGCGCCAGCCCGCGCGCCTGCAGCTGCCCGCGCCAGCCGCTCTCACTCGGGCGGAGGGGTCCACGGCCAGCCCCGTCCTGCCCGCCTTGCCCGATGACAGGGGTGACGACGACGAGGACACCGAGGAGGACACTGATGGTGAGGATGGTGAGGGCGCTGCGCCCCCCGCTTTCCCTGACTGCGCACCCGGCTTTCTCCCGGCGGCAGCGGACGCGGCGCAAGAGGAGCCGCCTCGGCCTCCCAGCCTCGAAGACCACGACGGCGCGGGCAGGGACTTCCTTCGGGGGGCCGCGGCTGCCGAGGACGTGTTTGTGGACGGCTTCGGGCCCGCCTGGCGGGAGGAGGACGGCCCGGCCCCAGAGGGCGGCTCTGCTGAGCCCCCTGCGCCGCCCGACTGTGCCCTGGCTGGGCCGCGCCTGCTGCCGCCCGCTGCCAAGACCCCGGGGCCGCCAGTCGCTCTCTTCCCCTTCCACCTGGGGGCCCCCGGCCCGCCCGCACCCCCGGGGCCTGCCTTCTACCCCACGCTGCAGCCTGACCCCCCCAACACTCAGCTAGGGGAGGCCCCAGCCCCTCCTGTGCCGCCCGCCTACGAGTGCGGCCATTGTCGCAAGACCTTCAGCTCGCGGAAGAATTACACCAAGCATATGTTCATCCACTCGGGTGAGCGGGCCTGTGGGTGGGGCAGCCCCTGGTCTTGGAAATTCAAGGCCCTGGCAGTGAGTGCCAGTGCTGCTTTGGATTTTGTGGTTTCCTGGCAGCCCCAGGGGGCTTGGAAATCGAGTGCCTCGAAAGACCCGGGTAGAGCAGCAGGTGCTGTGGGGGGAAGGGGCAGGTGTGTCTGCCCAGGGGCTTGGAGCTCTAGGGAGGTGGAGGCCGGACCATCTCAGGACAACGGCAGAATGCAGGTGAAAGACATGTGTCCTCTGGCCTGGGAGCCTGATGGGGAAGAAGGGTCCCAGGGTTGCAGGAAGCTTCCCTCTGACTTTGGCTGGATGGGGAGCTACTTCCACAGCACTGGGGAGGAGCAGAAAGGAGCGCGCTGGGAGGGGTGATCACAGGTGGGTCTGGAAGCTCTTTGAGCCTGGGAAGCTTCCCATTGCCAGGACAACCAGAAATTTAGCTGAAAGGCCCCAGGGAGTGCAGGTGGTGTTCTTGGGGGCAGGAGTGAGCAAGAAGGAAGCTGGCAGTGAGGTTCTGATGACTGAGGTCTGGGCTAGGGAACGTGGGAGCTCAGTGTTTGGCTGCAGAAGACTGTCTGGGATCCCGGCAGCACCAGCTTTGCCAGATGAGTGTGCCCAGAGCCAGGTGCTGGAGCCAGGGAAGAGCCAGGATTCCCCCCACCTCCCACACCCCAACAGTCACTGCCATGTAGTGCCCTGCCCCTGATAGGCTTTTTGTTAATACCTGATGACTCTAGGGCAGTGGTAGCAAACCTTTGGCACGCGTACCACAGCGGGCTGTTTGCATCGTTGAAAGCTCTAAAAGGTTCGCCATCACTGCCCTAGGGACGGACACAGCCTGCCTCACTTCTCATCCAGGCGAGGCAGGCAGCTTCCTCTTTCACTCTAGAGACATGGTAGGCATAGGCAGGAGTTCTGAGCAACGCAGGCTTCAGCAGAAAGGGGCAGAGGTGTCCTGGTTTCTTGTGATGCAAGGGTACTGCGCCAGGTGGACAGTGCCCAGAACAGTGACTGGTAAACCAGACTTTGAAGGCTGGATGCCCAGGGCGGAGGCAGGGCCCCAGACCAGGTATGGGTGGGCAGTGGATGACCCAGGCCCGGAATTCCCTTCTGGGAGGGTCCCTGCCAGGCAGTGGCATCTTGGGATAGCTTCGGGTCCAGGAGAGGGCCCTCTGCAGAACGTGGGACCGGGCCGTGGAGAGGTTCGGAGGCCCTGGGGAGGGCAGCTGGTCTGACTCGGGCTGCCTGTCTTCCTCAGGGGAGAAACCTCACCAGTGTGCCGTGTGCTGGCGATCCTTCTCGCTGCGAGACTACCTGCTCAAGCACATGGTCACGCACACTGGCGTGCGTGCCTTCCAGTGTGCTGTCTGTGCCAAGCGCTTCACGCAGAAGAGCTCGCTCAATGTGCACATGCGCACACACCGGCCGGAGCGTGCATCCTGCCCAGCCTGCGGCAAAGTCTTTTCTCACCGTGCACTGCTGGAGCGCCACCTGGCCACGCACCCCACGCCCTGACTGACCACACCCCCTCCGTGCTCCAGTCCCTCCCCACCCCGGACCGTCTTCTCTGTGCACTTGGACGCTCTGGGAGCAGCAGGCTTCCAAACTGACCTGGAGACCCAGACCGGAGTACAAGGGCCTGGGATCCGTGTCCCCTCCCAGGCTGCCCTGGGGTTGGGGCCAGAACGAGGCCTCTGGTTCCGCATCCAGGGCTTCCCTCCCTCATTGGGCTCCTGAGACCCCTCCAGTGGACGCATCAGAGATGGATTCAGGTGGATTCACTCTAATAAAGGATGTTGGGGGCCGGGGATTTGGCTCAGTGGTTTCGCCGCCTACTGCGCAAGCGCAAGGACTCGAGTTCAATCCCCGGTACCAAAAAAATAAAGGATGTTGGACCAGTGACCCCTTCTGCACTCAGTGGGCTGGGGCATCAGGGCACTGAGGCATATATGACTGACATTCATTCCCATGAAGTTGGTCCTGGGGGAGGGGATCCCAGACTTCCTCCACAAATACCACACTGCTTGCTGCAGTTCCAGTTAGCAGCCACACTTGAGTCCTTTCAGCTTTAGATTCCTGCTCCCCTCTTGTGATGGTGGAACACCTTATTTTTGAGGGGCCTGGAGAGGGGTTCTTTGGGGCCAAGCTGCTCTGAGTGTGAATGAGACCAGCCTAGTATGCCCTGGCTGCTGGGTTCTGAGTATGAGTGCAGGAGCAGCGTTAGGTGGCCATGTGAGGTGTGGGATGCAGCAATGACTAGGACCCTAGGGCAGGGGCATGAAGACGTTGACTCCAGAGGCTCAGGGCCCACCAGACCAGTTGATACCCTGTCAAACCCAGGAAGGTTCACTTAAGATTCAGGCACCCCAAAGGAAAGACGCAGAACCATGGGAATGTTTGACCTGCCTATCTCAGCAGCATGGAGAGCAGCGCTGAGAAATTGTAATCTCATATATATCACATAAAGCCCCAAGTTCACAAAAAATTATATAACACAGACTACTTGTTTGCATATTTACTGAGAATGTGTGAGCTATATAGCATGCTGACTCACTAGCAAACAGAAGGCCTAAGCAAAAAGCCAAGAGTCCAGTCATCTCAGGTACCCAATACATCCTCCACCCACTAGGGCGTATTTGCTTCACAGTCAACTCATGAGTCTTCACATGGTTCCCTTGGTGAGAAGTGTGGCTCATTGTACCTGTAATCCACAACAATAGTACAAGGTGCCGCAACAAGTCACTGATAAACAGACCAAGGGTGGGAGATCTTTGGCATCAAGTAAAACATGCATCGCTGGTCTCAGCACCTCCTGTAGTTCTGCCCATAGGAGGCTGGTAGGCAAAGTGCTGCACTGCTGCAGATATATCCCAAGTTTGCCAATGTGGGAATCTGGGCGGTAATGTTCTGGGGCCTAGCAATCCCATTTTTTGTTTGTTTTTTTGGTACCGGGGATCGAACTCGGGACCTTGTGCTTGCAAGGCAGCAGTGGAACTACTGAGCTAAATCCCCGGCCCCAACAGTCCCAATCTTGGACCCATCCTGCTATCGACTAGGTGGTCTTGATGACCATAGGAACTGTTTTAGTAATGCTCTCAGTGGCTGTCAGAGCAGCATAAGCTAGCTGTTTCTCAGTGAGTATCAGCTCTGGGCCCTTTTCCATAGTTGGAACCAGAACCCTGTCAGTTGTCACAACCATTCTGACTTCTGCTATAGCACTCACCCAAAACTCCATGGTCACACGGCCATCCAGCACACATGCCCCAGGCTGGGTCAAAGAAGTGTAAGGCTCGAGCCATCATTAGGGTCCTTTTTGCAGCCATAAGGGCTGCTTCCACCACTGAGGACCAGTCCCAGGTCCTCCCTTTTTTTTTTGTTAGCCCATACAGGAGGTGTAATGCTTGGGCTAGATGTGGCACCTAAGCTCTCCAATAACCCAGCTGCCCTACGGTTTGCAATTGCTTTACTGTGGTAGAGGCAAGATACGCCTCAATCTTTTTTTCCTTTTTTTTAGAGTGTCTCACTAGGTGGTTCAGGCTGTCCTCATGCCTCAGCCTCCCAAGTGCTGTGATTATGGATGTGTGATACCACATCCAGCAAGCCTGGATCTTTTCTATGACTGCATCTATGATGACTTTTGTCTTACTGGATCAGGAAACTCCCAAGAATTTGACAACCCCGGCCCTTGCAGCTTGCCCTTGTTGACAGCCCAACCACATGTTTTGAGATTTGTTTGGAGCACTGGTACAGTTGCCTCAAGGTCTACAAGAGAGTCAAAAGCAGGATCTCATCAATAGTACATTTGCACAGGTGGTGGCTTCGGCCACTGTCCCAAATCCAGTACCATCAAGCCATGACACAAAGTGGGGCAATGCCGATGTCCCTGCGAGGGCACTGGGAAAGTCCGTTGAGAGACACCCCACATAAAAGCAAACTGATCCTGACTCTCAAGGGCTATGTCAACAGAAAAGCAAGTATTAGGGGCCGAGGATCTAGCTCAGTGGTGCCACTACCTTCCTCACAAGCCCAAGGTCTAGAGTTCAATCCCCGGTACCAAAAAAAAAAACACCAAAAAAACCCCCAAGTATTAGCCCAATCTGCTAATAAGTACCAGCCCCTGACTAACGCAGTCTGTCAGGTCTGCCACAGAGGGCACAGCAGCATGCAGAGGGAAAATGACCTTATTTAGCTCCTGGAAGTCCACTGTCATTCTCCAGGGGCCATCAGGTTTTTTAACCAGCTACAGAGGGGAGTTATAGGGACTATGCACTGGCCAGATAATTCCTACCTTCTCCAATTCCTGGATCACCCCAGTGATATGTCTGCCAGGCAGGTGGTACTGCCTCACAGCTGTGACCCTTCAGGGCGCCAGCAATGCTTTGAATGGTCTTTTACCATTGCCTCCATGTGTACACTTGCAGGTAGAATTCCCCCATAGTAGGCTGGAGCCATAGTCCATAGAGTATATCAACTCCCAAAATGTACTCCAGTATTGGAGACTCAGACCCCTTATATTCCTTAGGGTGCAGGCAGCCTATTTTCAAATACACAAAGGTTTCTACTCCTGTAGTGCTATGACTCTCATAGCCATCTACATACAATGCAGGGCCCCAGAACTCCAGGTTCCCAAATAACAGAATGCACTCAGCCCCAGTCTACTAGAGCCAGAACCCATTGGACATTGGTCAGGGACCAGTGGATTGCTAGTTCCACATAAGGCCATGGTCCCCATGGTCCCCATCGGATGAGTGCCTTTACCTTGGCCCTATTCAGAGATGAGCAGAGCATTGGGAGAGCCAGTTAAATGATCTTCCAACTTAGCGACCTGAGCTGTGGCTGCAAGGTGAATATTTGATCCTCCTATAACTGTCTCCATAACTCCAACGGGTAGGTATTAGGCTTTTTGTAGAACTTGGCCTGACTGACTCCTGCCCCCAACAGGTCTACCTTCATCTTAGTGTGAGTTACCGTTGTAGGGTTTCCTGATCACCTGTTCTCCCACTTTGTCTGGGGTACCCAGGACATAGTAAGGACATTATGGCCCCGCCTCCCAGTCTTTGCCTCCCCTACATAGGCCACCGTTGTAGCCTCTTGATTAATCCAATGTCCCACACAGGGTGCCAGACTGGCCATGAGCAGCCCAAAGGCAGGGAAGAGGCTTTCTGCAGGACCACATCCCTCATGTCTGCAGTGAACCGTTTATCCCTAGAGCCCTGGGTGTTACGGTTACATTGCTGGTCACATACTCAGCTCCCACAGGACCAGCGAATGATCAATGAGTGACCGCCATTTCACTCACCATCTTGCACCCCCCACACACACTGGATACCATAAGCCAGCCGGCCGGGGAGCTAGTCTCCTGTCCATACCAGCTGCTGCCGACTCTCAAGGGCCGGGTGGCTAGTGATCAGGGCTAACTTCTCCATCTCCTGCCCAATACACATACACATAACACCACCCACCTCCAAATCTCACAATCTCAGTAACAAAGCAGCTAGAAGTTCCTCCTGGCATTGTCTAAAGTGCTTTCCAAATCTACCAGTTCAGCCTGGGGTAAGGGCAGTGTGTGGAGAACTCAAGTCATCTGGGCAGGAACTAAAGCTGCTCTGCTGGGTACAAAGCTACTGCTGCATTTTCACCATCACCACAGGATGGACCTTCCTGCATGGACTGGCGAGGTATCTTCAGCCGCTGAGTTGTCTGTGCCCATGAACTCTGTATCTTATCAGCCTCCACTCCTTCTGGACAACATTTATGAGCAGCTATTAGCTCATCTTCTAACTTGATGATGCAGGTGTCTCATCTTAATGAGCTTCTGTCTTGGCCTTAAGGGCAGTAAGAAACACCCACCAGCACCACCACCACCCCCCAGCCCCAGCAGTAGTATGGGAACTCTTCTTCTCCAAGATTTCTCCCATGGCATGTATCGGAGGTCGATCAGAAAGGGGAACAGCGAGGGGTGAAGAAAAAAGACAACAGAGACTTGTGTGATTTCAAGTATATGGGGCCCAGGAGGTCAGTGGCCCTGAGCGGGCAAAGACAAAGACACTCCGAGCTGCCACTATTTATTGGGTTCATAGGGAGTATCAGATGTCTCAGAGGGTGGCGATAATCCTATGCTGATGAGGATCTTAGGTAGATAAGGAGCTTATTTTGATTAGGATGGTGAGATGAGCAGAACATTCTCATAGATTTTGATTTTTTTTTTTTTCTTTCTTTGGTACCGGGGATCGAACTCTGGTCCTCACACTTACACAGCAGGTGGCAAAACCACTGACTAAATCCCTGGCCCTCAGCAAAACATTCTTACAACAGTAGGTGGGATGAGTTAAGTTGAAAAGGAATTTGCCTCTTCCCAGGTGAAACCTTTGTCTTTTTGTATTACTACTCGGTTTTTAAAGACCCAGGACATCTTCAACTGGTGTAATCCTCCCCTCGAGCATCACAGCATCACAGGACCACTGAGGCCTCAGACAGCCCTAATCATAATTTAATTGTGAAATGATTTTTTTCCCCAAAATTATGTAGAATGGCTCCTTGGCTCCTGACGGGGATGCAAGGCTTTCTCTTTTGAAATGGGGATCCCATTCACCTCTGTCCAGGCCTGAGGAGGGGCCCATCTGGACAGGAGGCTGGCCACTGAGTACCACATTCTTGTGGCTTACCACCCCAGTCCCACCCAGGGTAGCAGAGGGTTCCATGCTGGACTGGAGCTACACCAACTGTTCTGCTACCAGTAAGGTTCACTTGAGATTTGGACAGCCCAAAGAAAAGGTGTGGAGCTATGGGGATGTCTGACCTGACCTTT